TTTATTCCTTCATAAGAGATCTAATGTCTTAACTCATTTCAGCTTTAATTTTAAAATTTAAATCTAAACTCTCATCTAAATATTTAAATATCACCTAAATCATATACAAATGAGACTTGAATGCATGTTTCATCCTGAGGTAAATTCTATCTCCAATTGTGTCTATGCAATCAAAGAAGTTATGTATTTCCAAAATGCAATGGTACACGAGCATAGAATAGACATTCCCATTCCAAAACGGAGAAATAGAAGAGAAGAAAATTTTAACAGATTCCAAGTAAATCCAAAATCTCAGAGGGAAAACAGCATTAAATCTTAAGGCTAGAAAATAATTTGAGTCATGTCCTGCCTTCTGGATATATTGGGGTAGAAGTTGTTTCATCAAGGTCAGGGGTGCCCCAAACCTATGACTTTGCTTGGTGTAGCCTATGTCACACCTTTAATGGATTACAAACCCATGCCTGGAGTTCTCCAGGGTTGGAACTGTACATTGCCAGCTCAATATTTCTGAGAATCAGGGACATCTCCAACCCCATGATTCACCTGGTAATTGCCCTAGTGAGGTTCTCTGTGCTGGCTCTAGCTCTGTAGGTTTTCTGTCTGGACTACAGACCCTTGGGAGCATTCTTTGGAATCTAGGTGGAGACAGCCTTTCTCCCACAGCTCTTGCATTCAGGGCATCTGCAGAGTTAGCACTATGTGGATGCTGCCAAAGTTAATGAACTCTGTTCTCAAGGTCCTAGAAATCTGCCCCTGTGATGATGGGGAATCGTTGAAAATCTCCAAAATGTCTTCAGGGTCACTTCTCCATTGTAATAGCTACTTTACTGATCTCCTTGCAAAATCATTGCTTGGATACACCTTGGTGTTTTCTCCCTTAAGTACCAAGAATTTTCCAACTAGTAAAATTCTGCTTCTCATTTAATTACAAATTCATCTGTAATTCACTTCTTTTTTCTTACATTATAATTCTGTACCCTGAATATTTTGCTTAAAGAGTTCTTCTACCAAATACCCATTTGTTACTCTTAAGTTCTACTTTGCACAAAGCACATGGTCATAATTCTGTATAACTTTATACCAAGGATAGCCTCTCCTCCATTTTCTAAAGTTGGGTACCCATTTTCATCTAGTTTCTCATCAAAATTGTCTCATTGCTACTTAATCAATACTAATCAAGCATTCTAATCAGGGCCAATTAAGTAATCTTTAAAAAGATTTAGGCTTTCTTATTTTGTGCCTCCTCTGGAATTTCCCTTACATTTGATTCATGACATTACAAACTTTACCTAGTCTACTTCAAAACTTTACTAGTCTACTTCTACTCAGTACCCATGTCCAAACCACGTTCACATTATTTTTAGGTATTTGTTATAGTAGCACCCTATTCCAGGCATCGCTGTTCAGCTTATTCTCTTTGCAATGCTATAAATTCAACTTATAAACAACAGAAATTTATTCCTCATAATTCCATAGGTTGGGAACCATTGTCTAATGACAACTCTCTGCTTCCAAGATGAAGGGGAAGGAGCAAAAAGATCCTATTGTATTCCTTAAAGCCAATTCATAATGGAATAATCTTATTCATGAGGCAGAGTTTTCATAACTTAATTATCTCCTGAAGACCCCACATCTTCATAGTATCACACAGGATCTTAGGTTTTAGCAGATGAATCTGGGGGTGATATATGTGTTAATACATTCAGTTCTTCTCATCAATCTATCTTCATATTAATTTAGTCATTTGCTGAATATGGATAATACCTCTTTCCCAGATAAAAGTAGTTTGGCATAATGCTGGCACCAAGTGTGTTTCAAGCACTTTCTGACAGTTATGTAAGTTCTGGGTAGGTATCAGGGCTTATACAAAAGTGGTTCCTCTCATTTGCATGCTGTCCTGTTTGGAGGTAAACATGCTTCCCAATGAGGAATCCATACCTACTTTAATATTCTTATAGATAGTATTCTTCTGACAGTTTCTATTTCAGTAAGAGGTCAGAGAATGCTTAAAGACATCAGCTATTTTTCATTGTCTTTGCTGTTCTAAGTTTGATTCATCAGCCATCTCTTATATCCTAGTTCTACCTCTAGATCTGAAGATTCCAAGTTGAACTTCTCACTCCTGAGAACACACTGAAGAAAGTCCCCAACACCCAAAATTGAATTCCTAGGCGAGAATGCCTCAATTTCCCCAGTGTGAAGAGAAAAATCAGCTTGTTAACAACTATAATTAAACCAAGTCCTGAAAAGCAATAGAAAATCATACAGAGCAATTAAGATTGTAGCATAATACATATCATTCCTTTCAAAAGCTTGGTTTCTGACTTGATTTATGTAAAAAATAAAACACACTTTGCATGTTAGTGACTGAAAACTATGTCTTTCTTGGAACCAAATCTTATGTGAATACTTAGTGAGAAAATTGAAGTTTATAACTTTTTTGAACATAGTCCCACAATTATAGTTATGTTTTGATTTTCTGAATGAATTTGATGTTTTCTTGGAAAGAGAAATTTATATTTTAGGCACTAGGATGTATTTTAAATTCACCTATATTACTAAACAAAAAAAGTTAATCTATAAGCTGAGAGTTAAATTTGGTGTTTGAGCTTTTAAAAAAATATGGTTCTACCTCATTTCTAAGTAGATTAGAAGAAAATGTATAAATTTAGTTTTTAAATTATTAATTATTTTTACAATAATAAAAACAAATATTAATTTATTTTATCTCTCCGTATTGTTAAGTGATAGATGTTGTCTAATACTAGGAAATTTAAAAATTTATAGTAAATTTCATGCTGTCTCAATGGTAATATAAAATTGTTTTCTACAAGAGGCAACATGTTAAGAATATCATATAAAAATTGTTTTCCAGGAGTTATTTCATTCTTCTTCTCATTCCTTTGATGTAATCCATTTTTGTGTTAATTAATATGAAAGAACTATTTCTGACATTTCTCGCACACTCCAAATCTTTATCTCTTGTTACTATGGAATTAATTAGGTTTACATTCTTTATTATTTTTATATCCATTCATTACTTGTCTCATTGCATTTTTATTGAATAGTCTGCACATAATAGTTTGATGTGCTCCTTCATATGAAAATGCTCTTTTCCAACTTCTTAGAAAATTGTTTTCTCATGAGATAATATTAAGATCTCTGATAGCTAAGAAAATAAATAAAAGACTAAATATTAGATTTTTATAAATGCTACACACAAAAAATAAACAGGGACATATTGTAAAAAGTATTTGATGGCAAGATACATTCTCTCTGTGGAGAGTTATTTCAGCTGTGTTTTGAAAGCTGAGATATTGTCAGCTGTGAGAATGGGGAAAAATGTTTCAGGTAAAATGATAATTATGTTTCTCAATTCTAAGTAAGACAGATCCAGGTATGTTTGAGGAATAGAAAGACCAGGATGGTCCAGTAAAAACGATCAACATGAGCTCTTGTAAGAAGTTTAAGTTTTTGCTGAATAAGTTGAGACAACATTGTAGTTTTTTAGAAAGATAAAAGGTAACACAATATATAACACATGTAAAATATGAATCTAGTTGTCTATGGATAAATTTGTCTATGGCCAAGAGTGGGAATAGAGAAACCTATTATCTGGTGACTGTACTATTCTAAAAGAATATTTACATAGTTGTTTTTATTGTGCGGTGATCTGCCCTTATGAAATATGCCATATGTTCAAAAGCCAGAGGTTATATGCAAGATCTCCTGAATTCCTAGACACATGAGAGATCAAGCCACTGAAGCACTGACAGGCAGCACAACTAACATCCAACCTCTTGATCTCTTTTACTATTTTGAAGTGACTGATTGGTCTATGTGATACAGTGATCTCATAATTTCAAATATTACATAGTTTTATATGATTCAATATTTGCTGTATTAAATACTATAGAAATTTATTTTTCCTAGATCTAATATAATGTCTGAGTTGATAATATAATAAAATTTGTCATGAAATAAGTTAATGGCAATATTATAATCTAAAATAGTTTCAAAATCATGAAAACATACATGTACAAAGAAAAGTGATAAATACAGTAAAAAATTTTTGAAAAGGTCAGAATACTGTTTTCTACCTGTGGATTACTAAAATCATATATGCTACAACTTCCTAGGAACCTGTTTAATAGTTCAAATTATCATGTCTATAAAAGTAAACTGAAAATTTGCAAGATTTAATTGCTTTCTGAATTGTGTCTGCAAATTAAGTAAGCTTGGATGAGAAATACTCAATTAGTGGTCATTAAAATGTGGATAATGAGACTAATTTAAGTCTGCATGATAGTATTATAAAATTATTTAAGTACAGCTTATGTATTTACTTACTTTAAAATTGCTGACACTTTATCACTGTAGGGTGCATGATTATGACCATAATTATTCTTCAGTTTTTAATATGTTTTATGACTACATCAGTAGTACACACAAAAAGATTTTTTTCTTGTTTTGCTAGTACTAGGGATAGAACTCAGGGCCTTGCACTTGTTAGGTAAGCACTCTTCCATTTGAGTGATGCCTCCAGCCCGAGAACTTTTATGATATTTTATAAATTAATTGTAAAATTAATTTCTGAATTAACAACACATGATCAGATTATTTCTTACATTCATTCCCAAGCAGATATATTTTCTAACTAGAAAACATTTTCTTAGGCAAATTTTGCAGTGCTTTAACCATTTCTTATGAGATGTATTGCAAATTTTTATGAGCATTATTCAAAATGCTGACCTAAATTTTAAAATATTTTTGAAATAAAAATATCAGCAAATCTTAATGTTCACTTTTTAATCATTTGCTATTGCACATGCTAGGCAAGTGCCCTCCCACTTGAGCTATGCCATTACTTTTGTTTTTATTTTATTTTTTGAGATAAGTTTGTGCTAACTTTGTCCAGAATTCACTAGTTATTTACCACATTTAAACAAATTCTATTTTTTAACTCTAAGTTTTAAAGGAATAATGGTTTTATTTTTCAGATTGTTGCCTTGCGTGAACAAAATGTTCATATACAAAGAAAAATGGCATCCAGTGAGGGATCCACTGAATCAGAACATCTTGAAGGACTGGAACCCGGCCAGAAAGCCCACGAGAAGGTATGTCACATGCAACAGGCTCCAACAGGGAAGTGTTCACTTGCTGCTCTATTTAACAAATTTTCTGTACAAAATGTAGGGACTACATGATGCACATTGGTTGATGCTTGTTGATTTTATGATCAGAAATTTATGATCACTTTCCTTCTTAAGAACTTATGACTTGGTGGTGGTATAAAAAAAAGAACTTACGAATATTAACTTGATTGTTAATTTGCATGTGTGTTGTATGTACTAGTGCACATACATCTTTATATTTGTCACTTCTTGTTTTTAATTTTATTTTTAAAAGTAGTTTCTCTTTTTTATAATATTGGGGTTTGAATCCAGGGTCTCACACATGCAAAGCAAGTGCTCTCCCAGAGCTGTGTTCCCAACCCTTCTATTTTTATTTTGTTTCGATGCAGGGTCTTCCTAACTTTGCCTGGCCCGGCTTGCAACTTGTGATCCTCCTGCCTCTGACTCCAGAATAGCAGTGATTATAGACAAGTACTACCATACCCAGCTATATAATGAATAAATAAAATATTTAAAGTCTGTGTAGTGAGATATGTATATATTCAGGGATATTTTAAGTGCAATAACACAATTTTGAATTACTAAGAGTATTATTAAGAATTTTTAATAATATTCTAAAGTAAGAATATTAAGAAATATGAAGAATATTATGTACATGGGTAACTTATTTGTAGCTCATAACGACAAAAATTTTTGTTAATTTCTAGTTTGATTTAGAATTTTCTTTGTTTTATTGAGGAAAACCTCACTAATTTTCTTATTAATGAGAGATTGAATAATACCACATATAAAACAATGAGACTTTGATCTTCTTTTTTCCTTTTAGAAGGAAATGATTCTCCTTGTGGGTGGGGCTTGGTTACAGTCATAGGAAACCAGCAATCTGTCTGGCCATTATCAAAAGATCTTTTTTTGTGCTAAACCACATGTTTCTAGCATAAGAGAAGGTAAGTTACTGATAGGTCCAGAATTATATGAAAACTACTTAGATATCTTCATGCTATGTACTTGAAATTTAAGAGAATTTTCTGAATGTTTGCCTTTAACAAGTTGTATTTTTGGGTATTTAACCTCCTTAATCATTAAGACCACATGAATCAGGTAGCTAAATTGGTGTAAGTGTAAATGCCAAGTGCTTCTAAAACCTAGAGATGAGGAGCAAGTGACTGGATGAGAAAGCAAATAGCATTAGACTCCTTACCAGAAAATAAATTCAGCACTTTCTCTATCAAGCTGTGGAGACCAGTGGAGGAGCCTCCTCTGCTTCGTCCCTCAAGTGCAAAGGAAACCAAGTAAACCACTAAGTTCCACAGATAGGCTTCAATTCTGGTGGCTGGGCAATGAATGGAGATCTTTATTTAAGACATCACTATGTTAGCCTTTATCCATGTATTTTACAGAAATCCTAAGCTAGGTGTTAAAAAAATACAGTTTTACAAACAGATTTCAAAAATTTAACCTAAGAAGGAGATATTTTTTTCTTTCCTTCAGCTAAATGAACTGGTAATAACTGTCAATATACCCAAGTCTTGGGTTGACAGTTGTACTTAGGATACAAGTTAGAAAACCAATATGAAATTTTCTGTTGCTGTTTCATTTAAATTATATTATCAGTACCAGACTGTTATATCTCCCCTTAGAGATGCAAAATCACACTGGTTTGGGTATGAAAATGGATTTTTTCATAGATATCTACAAAATATTGTTTTCTATAATGTCACAAAATATTGTTTTCTATATGCTACTCCATTCCAGAATTGAAGAAATATGCCTTTATCAGGTATAAATAGCTTGAGGTCTTGTCTGTCATCTAATAAAGTATTTAATACTAAAATCATTCTGCTACTATTGGAGGAGTTGGGAGAAAGGAAGTGCATATATATATACATATATATTCAAATGCTGTCATGTATCACTTAACGATGTTTCAGAAGAACAAATGTCAGATAGGATAGTATATTCCAGACATAGGTGTTTATATCATCTAGTGCTGTATAAGTATACTCTATGATGTTCAGATGACAATATCACTTAAAGATGCATAACTCAGAACATTTTTTCATTGTTAAATATTTTTCCTCATTATATAGCTCCTAGTATGTTCAAACATTATAGAATGTATGACACATAATATCTGTTAGGTTAATTTTCAGATTCTGTTTACAGAATTAGATGAACATTTATGTATTATTTGTATTTGTCTCTATTGGACTTCATGGATAGAGGTGCAGATGTGGAAGTTTCTGGTTCATTGTGACCTAAAACATTTATCTATAACTTTCTTTGCATTCCAATTCTTTATAAAAACATGGCAGAAAAAGAGAAATTCTGTGTTGTTGCTAACTCACTCATTTTTGTGGGGGTATAATGAAAAAATTTTAAATATAATTATTGATATTCATTTTTTTCAATTTTCTTCCAGAACTACGGTGATTACCCAGTGCTTTGGGATAATGACATACTATTATTATTTCAAAATGTTCATATTGTTCAATATGAACATAAAAGATATATAAGATATAAGATAGGCTGTGTACATACTAATTTTAAATTTGAAGATAAGTAAACTCTGTTTCAATCACATTAATCCTGTGATTGATTTATCAACATTCAATAAACCATTTTATACCACATTTCTTTACATAAGATTTATTGATAAAATATGAAATAATATTCAGATTATTACTTTCATTATTTTATGTAAGTATTCCTAAATTATACACATATATTATTATAAGCCATCTCTTCACAATTATTCCACTAATGTGATAATTTGAAATATAGCAATGTCATTGGATAATAAATTGTCACAGGATTATAACTTAGAGCCTAACAAGTTTTTATTGAGAACATTTTTGGAGGTATACTTAGAAGTAAAGAGAATGTTATTTTAGGGAATGTCTATGTAATAAAGCTTGTCTCTATAGAAGGACTGCAGTATTAATATATAAGTTGAAAAGTGGTGTCTCAGAAGGAAAAAAATGCAAGACTACTGTCTTGCATAGGACTGTCAGAAAGTATTTGTAATCCTAGTCACAAAGATTACCCTCTGTTCAGAGCAATAAAATGACTTAACTTATGTAGCCAGTGTAGGTAATTAGCAAACAGAAGATGTTTTATGTGAGTAGCTTGAGAACTCTGTTGACAAAACAGTGAACAAAAATAGTCTCATAAAAACACACTCTGAAGCGGGCCTTATTACTCATGAAAAATTCCTGTAATTATCAACTATTTTAAAACAAAAAAAGAGAAGAAATAAGCTTAAGTAAAACAAGTTTAAATTTTTCTTTGTTGCCTTAAATTTAATCAATTGTACTAGAATATTAATATCTAAATAATAATAAAAACTTTCAGAACACTGAATTTTACCTTGCTGAGAAATAGGTTGAATACCTTTATTCCTGTTCCTTTTTAGTGGGGGAGTTAATCAGCACATTTTTCAAAACAAACATGCTGTTCTTGGGGATGCATATAACTCACATATTCTGTACTTTTAATTGTATTTTCCAGCTGCAGATATTTACTAAGTGATATGGATCAGTAGAACATCAGTCAGCAATAGAAATTCAGAAGACATAGCTCCAGTGATAAATTTGGTCTTGCCAAATTGAGAAATAACCGTGCTGGAAGTAATATTGCAAAACATGATCAATAGCATATCAAAAGTGATACTAAAATTGAAAGGAAGAATTATGAGAGATTAGGTTAAAGGAAAAACGATGAGGTCAATATATGAAAAAACTTAGTTTTTTAAGCAAAGAGAATACTATGTGCAAACATGGCAAGGTAGGCTACACTTCATCCTCATATTCTAGGGAAGACAGAATTACAAAATAGCTGGAGCCTAGTGGCCAAGAGAAGTAACAACTGGAGAAAAGACAAAACAGTGAGCAAGCGCCAGACCTTACAACCAAAAAAACGGCCAAAGCAGTCATGAGTACTCAGGCTATAGAAAGCATGGAAATGTTGACTGGAGTATCCACACACAGGAGGAAAGCAGATGAGTGGTCTGGAGTGAGCTGAGACTGCAAAGAGCATGGGTGCCAACTACAACGCAGGGGTCATACCTGAGTGACTAAGCTCTAGGGTGAAACTGCAAGCAGTCTGAGAATTATTAATTAGAATACATTTTAAGTGAAACTGTAATTTCAAGAACATAATAGAATACATTTTCAGTAGACAGTCGTTAGCTTGATTTTGAATTGTTAAGTTTACAGATTGTAGCACACCTTTTTTTTTGCCATGTGTCTCATAAATACTATGGATCTATCTGTCTGCTACCCATTGTAAGAAATCAAATTTAATTTCTATCTTCTACCATAGGTATATGGGTACAATATGTCAGTATGAATGTGTACATTCACACTCATGCATATGCAAGCTGAATCAGAACTTTCATAAAATAGTTACACTTAACCATATGCAATGCATTTTGTATTTTGGGTATTTTTTTTTTTTTCCGTGCATTAGTGACTAATGGCCTACTTCCTTCAGAGAGTGAAAAGTCAAGGAGCCCACTGATCTTGTGGCCATACAATATGTAAGGTGTGTCTTTGCATGTTACATGAGGTCCAGCCCAAGCTTTCTGGGCTCTCTTCTCATGTCTCAGGCTTCTTTGCTTGTATTTCCCACTTTGAACTTAAGTGCTCTGAATGAACCAAGCTGAATCCTTCCTTTTAAAAAATTTTAATTGTCATACAACAATTGTGTGTATTTATCAGGTACAATGTGATGTTTCAATACATATGTGCATTTTGTAAGATGAAATGAGGATAATTAGCATACATGTCACCTTAAAAATTTATCATTTCTTTGTGTTAAGAACATTCAAAATTCTCTCTTCTAGCTACATTAAAATATATGACACTTTATTGTTAACTATCATTACTCTGCTGTTTCAATAGAACACCAGAAGTTATTAACCAATCTCTCCCCATTCCCCTTCCTACAACTGCCCCCACCCTCTGGCAACCACTTCTATC